TAGTTATCCCTAGAGACAATATAAACAGTCAAAATGGCTCAGTTCAAACATTCTTAACCATGTTCTGAAACCAATTGCAGAATCAGTTTAATTAAAATAGACTAAATATCCACTTTCTAGCACCTTATCTCTCGATTTTGTCTCTGTAGTGAGGACAGTGAAAAAAATAACTAGTAATGAACAGAAGTGAGCATTATACTATCCATATTTCACATAAATTGTGGCTAATAGAGTTTAACTGTTCATTGCATCCTATTAAATGTTCTTTGTAAACAGCAGACACATGGCCAAGGTTAAAAATAAGACCACGTTAAACTTAAAATAACAGCACTTCTTTCTGGATTAATCAACATTCATTGCAATTCTGGAAGTATGGGGCTTAAGTTTCAGTGTAGACCATTGTCTGTTTATGCCTATTTGTGAAAGCAAGAACTTATTCAAACCTACTGCAATGCACTACATGATGGAAGATCAAATCAGTCAAGGGTTTAAGAACAGGGATGGTCACCCAAAAAAAGGTAAACCTCCGCAAATTTTCTACTGAACATAAACTGTTATTAATGTCTACACTTTGCTGGCATTATTAGAAATAACCAGGACATTATCTCGACAAGCTCTTGTCCCGAGACTTCATTTGAACATACTGTAGATGGGATCATGCTGGATTCATTGTCCCAAGCTCGACCATGCTTGAGCAACTGCCTCTGAGGAACATGCTGACAGCTCTTTTCTCACTTGCTTCCAGTTATATGTGCCTATATTTATACAAATTGCTCAACGACAGGAAGGAAATGGAAATAAAAAACATGCAAAAAGTCCAAGCCCCCCCCAAAATGTAAATGCTAACTTTTCTCACATCTTCAATTATTTTTCAGTCCAATGTCATCAGCATGCACCGTGATGTTCACCAGCACAAGTACTCTGAAGAATAATCACTGAAGACTTTAAAAAATTCTAAATTCTGTTCGAGCAATAGGCTCAAAAGGTGAAAATCATTGTCCCCGGCTGCTGTGCAGATTGTGTTGTATACCTGCTGCCGTGACAGAATCCCGCGTGATTCCTGGGCACAGGAACCCACTCCACATGGAAAGAGACAAATTCCATGAAGGATTAAATCTTATACAGGCATAAATTGAAGAATGCGTCGGCAGGTACTACACTCTTTTCCAGACAAACAAAAAGAGTAAGATGGTTGAAATATCTGTGAGAAAAACGCATCATATTTTACAGAGTAGGCGCTCATCGAACGAGAACGAGAGGAGGGAGTGTGAGGTAGTCGAGCTCACTTTGACTGCATCAATGCTAAGCTCCCGTCTTATTTTCACAGGGTTTAAGCACATCTGAAAGTCAGAGCCGTTAGCAATGAGCCCAGGACGCCCTTGTATATCGACCACAGGTAAATAAACACCACTTCCAGGAACACCGGCACAAAGACTTCTTTGTATCTAAGAGCTCTTAGCTTCTCTGGAACGTATCCCCACATTATAAGAGGTCTGTGAGTGTCATCCCCTTTTTTCCACGCAGGTAATGAAGTATGTCTGCAATAATCAGAGGCTTTACTAATAACACGTACAGAAATCCTTTTGAGTCCTGGCAGCAATAGTGTATAATAATGACTGGGGGGGGGGGCAGGAGGAAGCTACATCAGCCAATATTTCCAGAGGATGTGGCTTAGGGTGTGTTGCTTCCAAACCCACAGGCCTTTGGCATAACTTTGGCATAATCTATGCTTATGACCAGTTACTGATGGAGTCAGGCTTTAAGTCATAACAGTTCATTAATTCACTTCTGGATATTCACAGCCATGGAGAACATTATAAAAGGTATTTTTTTTATTATGAAGATTTCTAACTCTCCAGCTTTTTACAATCAAGAATATTATATCTTGATATGTAAAAGTGGACTAATCCTTTCTTCTTTTTAATGTTAAATAAAACGTTCAACGGAGATAAAAAAAGAATAGAAGCAGAAAGTCATACTTTTGCTATAGTACTCCCTATTTAAGGATAACATTTCACTCTTGTTGGTTTTATTAAAAAGGACAAAATGCATCTATTTTCTTTGAAAAATATCTATTGTTCAAGTGCAACTCAGGCTTCCTTTTCAAACAAGATCATATGATTACACATGTATACTTCACCTTCCGGAGGAATGAACACACCCCCTGTTTGCATCCTGTTATTCACAAAGAGTTTCCCCTTACTTTAGTTCACTACATCTAGTCTACAGTAACAGGCCTCCAGCACATTTCATCATAATACTTAGACGAGGAACGCGCCTTCTGTTTTTACCATTTGAACGCACATAAAAATCTCTGCTGTAGTCTGACCATCAAATAAGGGCCTTAACACTTCCAATGGAATTAACGCTGCTCATCACAAACTGTGCTACTGCACTGTTTGAAGACTACAGTGTTACAATATATAAAAAGGGCTCTAAAACTAAAAGCAACTTTTTGGATAGTAATGCTAAAAGATTAGTCACACATTTGCCCCTGGAAACTGATCACTGTGAGCTTCACACAGATTAACTGAGCCTCTCAACATAGTGAAACAGGAATATTCATCCACAGAACCCAAACCTGAAAAATTCTGCTTTGCTCTGCACCGTTTTTTAAAACTCTGTTCTTAATCATCTCAGTGCTAACATCTTCCTAAGTAACAGTAAGAAAATGAACAGTCTCTTTAAGATGGAGATTGTGTAGAAACCCCTCTGGACAATACAAGCAGAGCCCCGAAGGTGTTATACATTGATTATAGACATACTTTTGTTTCTAAGTCTAGATCATTAAGATATCTAGAAAATCCGTGAAATTGAGGAAGACTAAAGACTCCTGGAAGACTAAAATGGGCAGTGCTGTTTGAAACCTTCACCCTCCTATCTTAAGTAATAACTGGAAGTAGTTTTGAAGTCTTCCAAGCCATTTGCCTTCTCACTTTAGCGGGCTGAAAGTACTGTGAGGTAATTAAACTAGAATAATACAGGGAGTAAGTCTGGACTTAATTGCTCAAACAGGTTGAGCTCAGGAGTAGTTTACAGTATGGAACGATGGTTAACAATACAAAATAATAGTGGTCAGGCAGCCAACCTAGTATGGGCAAGAACCTGCTGTATTTCTTCAAGTCTGGAGTTACAGTCTACAGTTCCTGACCAAAAGCAGTAAGAGCCTGCATTTTGCCACACCGTGAGCACTGCATGCTTGATAAATATTACATCTCAAGGTGCAAAACCAGCCCAGATGGTTGTGTATAGACTTTTTCAAGTTGCAACTGAATCTCGGCAGAAGTTCCCAGATCAGGCATGTGGGTGTATGTATAAGATGTTAATGGTGCGTACACAACAATAATACTTACCCTGTTTGGATTTAATTGGAAACATTTTTTTAAACAAGGGAAACTATAAGTATAGTATGTGCATTCAAAACAAAGGAACAGAAATGGCAGTGAGGTGGCCATATTGTCCCATTTCCACACAGATTCATCCTGCTGGTACTAGAATTTCACCTAAAGGTTTGGACTTGCTTGGCCAACCAGTTCTTGAGCAGGAGTACAATGCTTGATGAACCACATTTCTAACGTATTAACTAACTAGTAACTACTACAAACTAACGTAGTACCTTTTTACATGGAAATGCATCAAAGCACTGGTTGTTGAAATATGCAAAGCTTTCAAGTTAATTGGCACTACAGTTTGTAAGAAAATGACATTGAAAGGGTGAGTCTGCCATCTAGGTTGATGCACTACTCCAATTTTGTCACAAAAGTAAAGGCAGATCTGTACCCATGTATGTTTGCAGTCTGAGGTTTCCAAGCTATCCATTCATTGAACACCAACAGTTTTGGAAATGAGAAGAAACAAAAACCCTTACAGAGACATAATTTTATATAGTCAGACCACAGCAATCCAGTGCTCTGGATTCCCAGTGACTGTCAGTTCAGCTGTCAATCAAACTTGAGGCACAACCCACATGAATTCACAGAACAGGCACTTCTAGTGTCAAAAAGAATAGTTAAAACTTAGGTTCATTAAGCACTGACTAAAAGCACACATAATGTTTTGTGTGCTACAATTATTAAACAGTCTTGTACAGATAACCCTTTGTCTTAAACATTACTGAAAACTGTAAATACATAATCAAACAGACTTAAAGTTTGGACTCCAATCTTCATTCATGAAGTATCCCTTGCTGTTCCTAATACAGACCTCTGGAAACTGAGAAAAAAATCTGAGCATTCATATGAACTGCAGTGAAAGTAACTGAAGTACCACTGAACTTCCTTAATGCGTCATTTTAAAGCACTGGGCTGGTGGCTATAAATACTCTGCTGATGCATTTCGTTTCAGTGTCTCTTTGGTACCCAGGTTGCAGTGTGAACTAAAAACCCAACAACAGGCCATCATATAAAAAACAGCCTTAAGATTTAGCCATTTATAAAGTAGTTGGACAAAGTTAAAATATCCTGAAATATCCAGGCTATGTCTGGACTATTAGGTAAAACAGGAGTCCCAGTCAGCAACTTCATAATGTACTGTGATGATATAAACAGAAAAACCCTTTTATAGTTCTAATTTCTAATTTGTTTGAATGAAGACGAAACAAACAATACTTGAGTCTAACCAACCACTATTAAAAAAAAAAGCACCACAATATACAGTTGTTTGTAGTAAGAAATTCACAATAATGTATAATTGCAATAATTACTGAGCTGCATTATAGGGCTTTTTATGCACTGTAACCTTTTAATAACTTTAGGAAGCCATTTCTGTAAAGATGAATAAAATTGGCAAAAAGCAGATGTACGTAAAATCAAAATCAAAGATGAAAAAATGGGCTTCATGGAGGTCTGCAATCAGGCTCTTTAGAAGACTGATGACGCAGCCCGTTTCCCCACGACTGCGTGAAGGACCGCCACCGGAAACTCACAGGCACAGGCTGTGGCGCAGGTAGGGATACACAGAGACAACCACGTTCAAAGTTGAAGAGACTGCCCCAGACTTACCACTGAAGAAGCTCTTAGCCCTCAGGTAGCTGACACTGAGCCTCAGCACGGAGAGCTTGTCCAGTTTGGAGATAACATCCTGGGGAAAGGGCAGCAGGTTGGCTAACCGCTCCAGCTCTGCATTCAGGCGGTCACGGTGCCTTTTGGAGGGATTGGACTTGGCTCCTTCGGGAGGGGCCGGCTTCGTACTACGGATGGAAAAAGAAACAGGGACAACATATTGATCGATCTGTAAAGAGACAAAATTCATAGTATTTCCACAGCCCCAGCGTCTCAGGTCACAGAAGCCAAGCACTGCCAGGCTGGGGGACGTCTGCTGGTCCAGCAGTGCCATCAGGTGACGATACTCCCCCTGGGCCAGAATTTCCAATCCACTGTCCCCAGATGGGGACCACGGACACTGTGCTGTGCTGTAAACCCTACTTTTCAACAATATTCTATTTCTTCCTTATAATTCATGTCTATTTACCATCTGTGAAGTAAAGTTTTTTTTTTTATTTATAGATACTGTAACATGTTTACACAAGACCCCACCTTAATTTCAGAGCTGATAAGATTGTATTTTATTTTATTTCACCTGTTTACTTTTCTGTTAACTGTACTTACTTAAGATGAGATCACTAAATGCATTATATATTCTAGAACAAGAAGTAATAGAGCTTTAGTGCAACACAATACAGGATCTATTTTTCACAGCTTTCATGTTCCAAGTTAGTGAAAAATTAGTTTATTTATGAAGCGTAAAATGCTCAATAACAGTATGACTGAGGTCAATATTTTAATTTCTGCAGGACAAAGAAAACATGCAAGCTCAATTCTCCAGGAATTAAAAGCATACAAAGTAAACATTTTAAAAGCATTTGGATTCCTTTTCACTAAATTTCAGGCTTAGTGCTTTGCTAAAAAATAGGAATATATATTTTTTTAAATCAGGATTACATCCCATGAAAACAATAATATCTGAAAAAAACTCTGCACATCCATACTGGACAAGAAGGACATAAGGAGCCACTTTCTTTTCTTGAAAGGGTATTGGGAGATCAAATGCCATATCCATCCTGGGACAGAGTCAGCTGACAGCCAAATCAGACACTGGCTGGATGAACATTTATGCCAAAAATCGAATATTTCTAATAACAGATTTAATTATCTTTTTTTCTTCTTTTATTTTAAGACAGAACTGAAATGGCATGCAAAGTCTGCATGGGAAAACAGAATATAAGCAGAACGTGATGAAAGAATGCTTGTTTTGGCATCTAAAATGTTCTCGCATACTCTGCTATCGACGACTGCTTCAGGGTGTGACATTTTCATGTGTCTCCTCACTTCCCTTAAGACAGCCCTCTTCATTATAAAACTACACTAAATGAAGTCAGAAAAAGTATTGTAGAAGCATTCAAAATTCAGGGAAACGCGTGGCTTTCTTTTTCTACACAGGCCCTTAAAATCCACTGCCCAATAAACACCGTAACTTGTATCCGCCATTTATAAGGAAGAAGTTCCATCATTCCATGGCCATATCGCACTGTATACTTGGGGTTAAATTCAGTGTATATGATGTCACTGCATGTTATGCTACAGTAATTCCTGTCACATGACCCATTACAGTAATGCCTCACGTCATTTTTGTCTGCCAGTAAATAGACCAATATCTCCCTCAGCAGTTTAAAAAACAACATTTTCAAGAACAGATCGTCAAAACTCAGAAAGCTACACAATGCATGTTAAAAAGCAGCGGATTTGTTCCTTTCGGTCACTCTGATACCTTTAAATTTGAGTACTACATCCTGTAGTGCTTCACCTCCACCAGACTCTTACTGTGATATCTGGAATTGAATAAAAATAAGTGCGCAGTCTGTGTTTTCTATGAAATCTCAAGTTTAAAGCATGCTAGGTTTATTTACTGCTCTGTTGCTTAGCCAGTGGCAGCCAGTGACCTCCGAGAGGAGGGGCCAAAGCACAGACAACCAACACCATGATCTTCCTGCTGCACACGAGTGCTGCACCGGGCCGGGCGAGCGCACAGCTGCCCGCTCTTGTCATCGGCTCCCCAGCTCCCTCATTAACGCGTTCCTCGCCCTGTCCTCTGCAGGCTGCTGGGGCCCTTCTCCTTGAAAACCTGGCCCGAGGACAGAGTCGCGAAGGCAACACGCCCCCCCTCCTAGACCATTCCATAACCGAGTCAAAGGGAAGAGCAAGTCTGGCCATTTCCCTTGTGCTGGCGTTTCAGACTCCAGGCTTGGCTCTCGGGCAGCTGGCTGCACCATCTTGGAACGCTCTATAACACGCAGCTCACAAATCACTGCGTCCCCACTGACAGCACGGGCGTCAGGTCCTGCTGGAGACAATCAGAGGCGACGACCTCATGAATCACTGACTGTACATGACTTGCAAAAATTAGCGCCCCAAGGCTCACCAAACACACGCAAGATAATTCCCTACTAGCTCAGAAAGTGAAGAGGGGGGTACAAAATGCCAAAGTCTGGACTTCTACGGTACATGCCATTGGAGCAGGTAGTTCACATACCATAAAATTAGCAGTGTGATACTAACATCAGCTAGCTCATAGTGATATTAAACTACTACAAATTATTAAGGACAACTAAATCTGAGCCATTGTTATATTTATTCAGGCTGCAGCCTAAAAACTTTGTAAACATTTAAGCTGTGGCCCAATTTTTTTAAAAAATCAGCAGTTTCTTTTTTCCCTGAAAGTAGAAGAAATAAACAAACAGCTCATGATGCACTAAAGTGCAATGCAGCAAGTTAAATTACATTTTTAAAGATGTATTAAAAAAACAATGATCTATTATCATTATAAACAAAGTCTATGTTTCCTGCAAAATGCAAGGTAATCTACATTTATCAATGTATCTTTTTTCCAAAATGCCATATTGATTACATTTGCCTTGTGAAGTGTAGCACAGTAAATGCTTTTTCCTGCATTGTGTGATAGAATGATAAAGGCAGATTACACAGGCAAAATCCAATTAATGGAGATGATGACTATTTTTCTCCGTGAGCTTTGACACGACTGGTTTTTCTTCCCCTGGTAGTCCTCAAGCAACTGTCCACAACACTAAAAAACACAAGTAACAGCAAAAGTGCAGCATGCAAATGCCACTAAGAAAATGAGCACACGACAGGATAATACTCTATGCGTCACTTGAAAATCTATCTGGTCTGACTGTTGTGGAAATGAAGACTGACTCGGATGCAAATTCTTAAGATGTCAGTTCAGTACGTTGATCTAATGCCGAGGTCTCTCTCTCTAAGTGCTTAATGTGGAAGTACTGTAAACAAACAGGTCACGTACTCTCAGGCACAGAATGGCACATTCTGTGCACTATTTTGACTTATCAACAAGCCCTTTGATTCATTCTTAAAACCCTGCTGCTTAATGGAGTTGAGGAAAGCAGCGCATTGCTTGACTTGTCCTCTTCTACCAAAATAGCTTTGATGCCGTCTAAACAATAGGGACTCTACCCTTTTAAAAACTGCACAAGGCACCGGCAAGAGGCCCATCCAGCAGAAAAGGTCTCATTTTAGAATCTGTGACTCACGGGGGTGTTAAAGTTTTCATTTGGGCCAAACTATTCCAAACAGGCTACACTGCCCGGATAGAGCCAAGATTTCACTGGCCATATGAAAGGAATCTGAATCATTTGTACCGTTTTTTTTAAAAAAAAAAACCTAATCTTAAAAAAATCTTTTGGTGTTTGAAAGAGAGGCTTTGGGTTGAGGTTGTGGTTTAATCTATGGGTTAGAGTTTCAGGTACGTCAAAGAACGCTGAATGTAACTTAACATTCAATCCCACTAATGAGCGATGAGCACAACTCCAAAAGTATGTTTCAAGCTTTAATGTCTCGCCCGTGTTAAGAGTTTGACTGTTCTCTAAGAGAGCCCAAGTAAAGCGCTGTATTTCTCATTAATCATAATATGCAGGGATCTGCGATGCCTTCCCTTTCCCTAATGCTAATGCTAATAAAAGGGCACCGTGGGCACGGATGAGTTGCGTTCGACTCATTTCTGAACCGATTTAAGGTTTTGCTAAACCGACTTGTGGAAATGCGTTCAAGCCGCGGATAACACGTCTCCGCAACCCCTCGGGTGCAGAACAGCAGATGCCGCAGAACGTGTCACATCATCATATTCATATGTGTATCCCTTTCTCATGTGAATCCACACGCGTCGGTAACTCTGTTCCCACCCCGCCGCACACCGGCACTAGACAATGCTGGTGCTGGCTGCCCTGCAGCTATGAAGAAAGGTGAAGTGCACCAAATATTCCTCCCAGGCCTGATCTTTCCACATGAATATTTTAATAGCTCTGGAGATGGCCAGCATTCGGTTACTTTTTGGGGGAACTCAAGCCCTGCAAAAGTCGGGATACAATTTGGGCTTTCCAGTGCAAGCCGAGCTCCGGGCGACTTCATCCGACCATTTAGCTGCGTCATTAGGAGGCGTTGATGAGCTTTCCAGGTCTCTGCTCGCCACTGTCTGCACAGCTCTAAGCCCGATGCAAGTCGGATATCTACAGCATGTACATGCAAGCAGACGGCAAAAGCGCGGAAAGCGTGGCACCGGGAACTGGAGGGGGTCTGTCTCGCCATGCACACCAGACACGCCGTCCTGTCGCCGCTCCGAGGCGGGGACCGTCGCCCGGCCTGTGCGGGTCTCCGTGGATCAGTGCCGAGCCAGCAGGCTTAGCGGAAAGCGACCGGACCGAGGCCGTGCATCCGCCCAGCCCGGGGCACGGATGGGGCTTGTGCACGGCCAGGGGCAGAGCCGTGTCCCAGGGCGGGCGGGCAGGGCACGGCTTCAGGGCGCCTGTCCTCCGCACGGACCCCGCCAGGGCGAAGTGGGCGAGCAAAGCCGCGAACGGTTCCAGATGCTAGCACAGACGGGCTGGGTGCGTCACCGGCCGCCAGGGGTCCGAATACCATCTCTCCCATTTCACACCCCCTCCCCTCCCCTCCCCTGCCCGGCTGGAGGACACGGCGGTCCTGCAGGTGTTGCGCCCCGACCCCTCACGAACAGACACACGGCGTCTCCAGGCCTGTCGCACCGGCTGCGTAAAGGCCACTCCGGCCGCAGGGCTGCGGCGGCGGCGTCTCCGGCCTCCCGGACCAATGCGAAACGTTAAGGAGGCTTTGGGTTTGCTGGGGGGGGGGTTCTACTTTGCTACAACGACAACAACACATAAGTATTTCACCCCCCCCGGATAAAAAAAACGAAAAGAAAAAAATCCTCCTAATCTCCGAGCGAGCAACGCCACGGAGACCTCCGGCTGCCGCAACACGAATCAAACACGCGAGACGCGCACCTATTTGAAAAGAAA